AAGAAATTAAAAGACGCTTGCTCCTGGGGAGGAAAGCTATGGCAGCATACTAAAAAGCAGAGACATCACCCTGCCAACAAAAGTGCGTACAGTCAAGGCTATGGTTTTCCCAGCTGCAATGTATGGTTGTGAAATTTGGACTATAAGTAAGGCTGAGTGTCAAAGAATTGAGGTCTTTGAAGTATAGTGCTGGAGAAGACTCCTTTGAGTCCCTTGGACTGCAAGGCGATCACACCAATCAGTCCTAGAGGAGATCAACCCCAACTGCTCTTTAGAAGGCCAGATCCTGAAAATGAAACTGAAATACTTTGGCCATTTAATGAGAAGGAAGGAATCACTGGAGAAGAGCTTCATGCTGTGAACGATTGAGGGCAAAAGAAGAATGGGATGGCAAAGAATGAAGTGGCTGGATAAAGTCACTGAAGCAGTCGGTGTGAGATTAAATGGACTCCAGGGGGATGGTAGAGGACAGGAAGGCTTGGAGGAATGTTGTCCATGGGGTTGGACACGACTTCGCAACTAATAACAACAAAGAAAGAAAGATATAAAAAGTGAAAATGTAGGAAATGACCAGGTTGAGCCTGAGGGAAGGGACCATTAGTCTCCATCTTTTCATGCCCACAAGAGTGGGCCACCAGCCACTTGAATTCCACTGACTCTTATCTACCACCAATTTGCTTTGACTGGTAATAGTTCAGATTCTTGTAGAGAGTGTTACCATGCAATAATCCTATATTCATTTGAACCGCTCTGGCTCCTGATTCCCGCTCAGGCTCCCGATTCCTTATGCTTGACAGAAAATTCAACATTACAGAATTTCAGAGAATGGTGCATGCAAACTTGCTTTTTTCAATTGTAATAAAGCAGACCTTGCATTTTACCACCCATGGGCCTCATGTGGTCCTTTGGCTCTCCTTGTCTGGCCCACAAAATCAGCGGCACCAGTAGCAGATGTGAGCAGCATGGGGGATGAAGAGGGCAATGTTGCCATGGGTGCACTATCGGGGGAGAATGGAGTGTTGGGAGTGTGGCATGGGGGGGGGGGGTAGTGGCAGCCTGCCACAATAGTTCCAGTTTCTCATGGCGCCCTTTGGGAAAATTAATTCCTCACCCCTGGAATAAGGAGTGAAATAATACTTGAATGCCAAGAATAGCAAATATTTTAACATTGCCATCTGATCACCTTAAAAAATAGCATATTGCTTAAGGTGTACTGTTTCATAAAACATTCTCACAAGTAAGCCTGTTCTGGTCCTGGATTAACCAACTTCCTAACTGGATTGTTTAAACCTAGAAAAAGGCAAGTGTTTTCTTTGGGGAAGAAAAATCTATTGTTTCAGATAAAGCTTGGGTTTCCTTTTAAATGTGATCATATGATTGCAGGTTTATATTTTAACTTTCCTCAGGAATTCACACACCCCTCATTTGTATCCTGTTATTCATTTAGCATTTCCCTTTTACTTCAACAAACTTTTAACAAAAACCTATCAACTAAACCCACGAGCAAAAGAGAACATTTTTATATTTACAGGACATTTTATAATTCAACACTAATACTTATGTGTTAGAACCTGCTTCATGTGTAAAACTGTATTTTTACATCTTTCCACTAATTATGCTCTTTTATGTAACTCCATGACTAACTATAGCAAAGGCCAACAAGCAAGAGAGGCATGTGTATGGTTGCAAGCCGACCAGAGCTTCCTAACTTTACTGGTTATTGCTTCCATAAAACACTATTACTATACTGCAGGCTACATAAGCCTGGCATGCTACAAACAGATGAAGTCATATCTGCATGGGGTGGGGATGTATTCAGAAGAAGGTAAACAGACAACAATACATCATATACTTGTGGCTTTGTTCTGAAATCACCTTACAGGTATTTCTAAATCTAAATCTCTGTCGACACTGAAGACTTTATATAGCAGGAATGCAAAGTGTATGTTGCTTAAGCATCTAATATAAGGCTATGTCTTGATCTAGACCAGCGGTCACCAACTGGTGGTCCATGGACCACTGGTGGTCCACAAGAAAATTTTGGTGGTTCGCAGAAAAATTATTTGCATTTTTTATATTGCACTAAATCAGGGGCCCTCAAACTAATGCCCCTGGGACAGATATGTGCAATGAATGTTTGTGTTGCTGCAGAGAGTCTCCCCCTTCGGGGTCTTTTTGGGTGGGTTGGACGGGGGCAGAAATTCCAACTTGGGGTCTGCTTCAGCCTCCTGGTGTGAGGCTTTGGGCAAAGGCTGGAGGAAGCACCGCTGGTGGCGAAGAGCCGCAGGACCTTGTTCCAGTGGGACTGCATCATGGCCTGGAACTGGCTGACTATCTCAGCCTGCTGAGCCTCCAGGTGCCAGTACCTGGCCTTGCACTCCCACAGATCTTCCCTCTGCTTGGAAAGCCTATGCTTGTAGTCCTCAGTGAGGTGCTTCTACTGAGCCTGCTTCCTGGTCAGATCCAATTTAAACTGAACTGTTTTGCCAACTCTTTCTCGTGGTGGCTGCTTAGCTCCAACAACTGCTTCCTGTTGGAGATATAAGGAGCCTAGGCAGGGAACTGAGGAGTGGCTGGGAGGGGAGGGGTGAGTAGAAGCCAGCGAGGCGCCCCTCAATGTGAGTGATATCAAGTTGGCCATGCCCACCCAGTCACATACTCACCTAGCCACGCCTACCCAGCGAGTCATTAGGCAGATCGTATTAGTGGTCCGTGGGATTTAAAATTATGAATTTAGTGGTCTCTGAGCTCCGAAAGGTTGGTGACCCCTGATCTATACTATAATATTTCTAAAACAGACTCACTGATATCAGTTGTTCAAATAGAACTAGACACATCCATTATTTTAATATGTTATTTTTTATTATTATTTCTGTTCAATCATGTCCAATTTTCAAAGACTGTGTGAGAAAGTTTCCGCAACATTTTTGGCAAGGTTTTTTAGAAATGGTTTGCCATTGCCTCCTTCCTAGGATGAGAGAAAATGACTGGCCCAAGATCATTCAGCTGGCTTTGTGCCTGAAGTGGGACTAGTCTTCCAGTTTCTAGCCTGATGTCTTAACCACTACACCAAATTGGCTCTCCTAACAACATTAGGAGCTGTGGTGGTGCAGTGGTTAAAATGCAGTATTGCATGAAAATTCTGCCCACTGCTAGGAGTTCGATTCTGACTAGCCCAAGGTTGACTCAGACTTCCATCCTTCTGAGGTCGGTAAAATAAGGACCCAGATTGTTGGGGGCAATAGGCTGACTCTGTAAACCACTTAGAGAGGGCTGTAAAGCACTATGAAGGGATATATAAGTCGAAATGCTATTGCTAGTATTATTGCTATATCCTTACACCTCTCTATACCCCAAAACTGATACATGAGAACAGATAGCCAAAATCCAAACTTGCTGTCCCTATTAGCAACCCTTCCATTTATTTGGGTGTTTCGTTTCAGGGTGAAGGGATTGTCCAATATAGCTGAAATACAGTAGAATGAATCCTAACTCTTATCTTCAATTTATTCATCTTTGTTTCATAAACTCACAGAACAGGCTGGTAAATAGGCTTACTGAGAAAAGAAAAAGAGTAAACAGGAAAAAAATAGAGTCAATATGAAAAAGCACTAAGGCGTTATCTGTACAACCTCGCTATTCTGCTGGTATCTAACTGTATTTCAAGGTTACAAGCCTACTTATTGGCACATTTTCAAGCACTCTTGAGACAAAAAGGAAAATGGGAATAGAGGACTTTGCCTGGGGCCCAGGTGAAGGCATTCCAGGACCAACCTAAGTGGTTAATAAATACTACATTGATCTTGTCATTCACTAATCACTCAACTATTCTGCTGGCATTTTAACACATCTTGAAACTGGTACCCACTCAAGGGAGAAAAACAGCACTTTAGCATAAGAACAACTAAGAATGATTTAAGATATCTCACACATGTGACCAGAAAGAAAGGATCATGTTGATACATAGAAACAAAAAAAAGGAGTATCTTGGGCATGTATGTGCAGTGATGAGGTATAAGTAGAGAAAGATCTTTGGTATGAAACTATCCTAAACACTGAGAAGAAATTAACAAGACGAGAAAAGCTCAGTATTTTACAACTACCCAACATTCCTCTACTGTAACGCATATTCTACTCAATTAAATTCTCCAGAAAAGCAAACACTCTCACTGTACCAAACTAATGTAGCATGCAAGTTCTGCCTTGGATTTGTTTCCAAGAGATTATCTATTCTAACAAGTTCCACTAGTAACACAATTCACAAGACCAAAATTTAACAAAGCTATAGATTTATTTCTGTGACTGTTTTTTAGAGATATCCATACTTACTTTCCTCTACATTTTGTAATATTATGCACTGAGACTGTTTTCCTGGAAATGGGAAGACTAGGGGTGGAGAAGTGCCAGAAACAGCTTGTCCAGCCCAAACCTGCAGTAGATCTTGAAAGAGTTCTCAAATCTAATCAACTAAAGAATTATTTCAGATTCTGAACATTGTTTCTACAGTGTGATTGTGTTCTATTCTATCCCTTCTAATAGCCTATTATTAATAGATATTTAATTCACTTTGATAATGAGAAACAATATACACCCTTTGTAATCTCTTGCACAATTCCATAGCACACTGATACAAAGTACAATTGCAACTGTACAAAGTACAATCACAGACATTGTACACACAACTCCTCCTCAGTTAGGGTTTTCATTTACTTTCTAACTCAGAAAAAAGATGTCCTTTTTAATACAAACAACAAGCAAGCAAACAAGCAAACAAATAAAGAAATAAAGAAAATAAATGTCATAGGATAGTAAGATGCTAGAAGCACATCAATAAATTGCTGAAATATTATTGCTTAAAAGGACCACAACTTTTAAAAGGAGCACAACCTTAATTTTTTTAAAAAATTCAAATTCTTTAAAAAAGAGGAAGAAAAAAAAAGCAGACAACTTAAGAAAATACTAACATTATGGTCAGTCAGGAACAAATTCAAATTTCTTACCATCAAAGAAACTTTTGGCTCTCAGGTAACTCACACTCAGTCTAAGTACAGACAGTTTATCCAATTTGGCAATAACATCCTGAGGGAATGGCAGAAGACCAGCCAGACGATCCAGCTCAGCATTCAATCGATCTCTATGCCTTTTCGATGGATTTGACTTCACTCCTTCAGGAGGGGAAGGTTTTATTCTGCCATAATAATAGGACATAGTGAGATCACATTTAAAATACGGGTGTTTTCACCTGTAAGTATCATTCAGAAGTATCCCAAAATAATATATACATTTTCTTACTGGCCCTATACATACATGAAATATGTATATCCCGAACATATTTTTGTTTTCAAACGTATCTCTTCCATTAAAATGAAAGCTGTTAAGAAGAGATGAAGCAGAAGGAGGACAGAGGAACAGCTGAAAGATGTTCTGATCATTAAACTTCCGGGTTTAAAATGATAATATCTTGCAACTATTTTATCAGTATGTATCATCTATAACTAATATAGAAACTTTATATTTAAGTTTTTTTTTTATTATTATTTTAAATGTTACACATTATTATTATTGACAGCAATTAACTACAATATGGTGTGCTGATCCCATGCAGTTAGATAATTTTTTGAATTGCCAGCTAAACAGTGACTGGTCAAAAGTTGCCTAGCTGACTATGTCTAAAGGACTACAACCTGGGCTTCTATGTTCCTAATCCAACATTTTATCCACTAGCTGTCTATCTAGATCCGTGCCAGTCGGGCTTCAGGGCGGGTTACAGCATGGAAATGGCATTGATCGCATTGGTTGATGATCCCTGGAGGGCCCGGGACAGGGGTTGCTCCTCTGTCCTGGTCCTTCTAGATCTCTCAGCGGCTTTTGATACCATCAATCATGGTATCATGCTGCATCGGCTAGAGGGGGTGGGAGTGGGGGGCACCGTGCTACGGTGGTCCTCCTCCTTCCTCTCTGACCGTACGCAGTTTGTGTTGATGGGGGGGCAGAGGTCGACCTCGAGGTTCCTTGTGGGGTGCCGCAAGGGTCGGTCCTCTTGCCCCTTCTGTTTAACATTTATGTGAAGCCGCTGGGTGAGATCATCCGTGGCTTTGGGGTGAAGTGTCAACTGTATGACGATGACACACAGTTGTACATTTCAACCCCAGGCCACCCCAATGATGCCCTTGACGTAATGTCCCGCTGTCTGGAGGCCGTGCGGATCTGGATGGGGAGGAACAGGCTCAGACTCAACCCCTCCAAGACTGAGTGGCTGTGGCTCCCAATGGCCCGATATAGCCAGCTGACACCATCGCTGGCTATTGGGGATGAGATCTTACCCCCCTCAGAGAGGGCTCGCAACTTGGGCGTCCTCCTGGACTCACGGCTGTCCTTGGAGGATCATATGACGGCCGTGGCCAGGGGGGCTTTTTATCAGGTTCACCTGATTTCCCAGTTGTGTCCCTTTCTGAATCGGGACACCCTGCGCACAGTCACTCACGCCCTCGTCACTTCCCGGCTGGACTATTGTAATGCTCTCTACATGGGGCTCCCCTTGAGAAGTACCCGGAGGCTCCAGCGGGTCCAGAATGCAGCCGCGCGAGTAATAATGGGGGCGACTCGTCGCTCCCATGTAACACCTATCTTACACGAGTTGCACTGGCTCCCGGTGGTCTTCCAGGTGCGCTTCAAGGTGTTGGTTACCACCTTTAAAGCGCTCCATGGCTTAGGACCTGGTTACCTACAGGACCACATTCTGCCACCAATTGCCTCCCACCGACCAATACGCTCCCACAGAGAGGGCCTCCTCAGGGTGCCGTCAGCCAAACAGTGTAAGCTGGCGACCCCCAGGGGGACAGCCTTCTCTGTGGGGGCCCCGGCCTATGGAATGAACTGTCCCCGGATATACAAAGGTTCCCCGACCTCCGTGCCTTCCGTCGCGCTCTGAAGACCCTATTATTCCAGCAAGCTGGTTTGACAGGATAAAGGTTTTTTTAAATTGGGTTTTGATAGGGGTTTTAAAATGATTTTAGTTGGATGTTTTAAATTTGGCCGAATGATTGAATTATTTTAATAAGCTTTTAATTTTTGTTGTATATTGTTTTTACTATAGCTGTTCACTGCCCTGAGTCCCTCGGGAGAAGGGAGGTATATAAATATAATAAACTAACTAACTATTTATACAATACCAGATCTCAAATAGTATGCATACATTTATAAAATCAATATACTATCTATATTAATATTACTATACTTAATATATTATTAATCTTAATAGATTATACTTAATATACTACACTTCCATAAATCTTCAGTTAGTTTATACACCTTTCAAAATAGTTCATACACACTATAAAACTTACACGGTATCTATACAGTAGATATAAAATATAAAAAGTCAAACACACATTAGAATGCCAAAGTTTTGAAATGTAAAAAAAAAATCAGACCAAGATATTTACTGTGACCTGAAGAGGGTTGTGCACAGGAGATGCCCTTGCAATCCCACAGATCTGAAGCGCTTTTGCAAGGAAGAGTGGGCAGGGATTCCCAAAGCAATATGTGCCATGCTGATAGGCTCTTATCCTAAAGGACTAATAAAATCAAAAGGTGCTCTGACGATGTATTAGTTGAACACTTATTCAACCACATTATTGTATGTTTTTTATTTTTTTGTCAAAGAAATAGATTTTAAAAGATTTGAGTTTGTTTTTCAATTAAATGGCACAACTAATTTGTTATATAAAAAGTAAAAAATTCTAAAGTGATTTTTTTACATCTGAATAATCTGGCATTTTAACGCAGGTGTGTAGACTTTTTATATCTACTGTAACTATTATATCCAATCAGAGCTATAATATTTAAATCCTAGACTAGAGAATACAAATAAATTTACCAAGAATTGAAAATATATTTACCTAAGATGATATAATCAAACAGATGTTGCACTATCATATAAAAATGATTGGAACCATAAACTGCAGGCTTAGTTATGTATGTGTCTCTATGTTGTTGAAACATATTTTTCATTTGCAACTGAACAAATGAGTCCCCAAAATTACAGAGTTACATAAATAGCTTGTGAAACAGATAATATGCATATAGTTGCTTTTCAAACTTCCACCCACACAACAAGGTTAATGTGTGAATTGGGTCATGGAACCAGTAGTTGGCATTCCTCCTAATTTATTGAAAACATATTTTGTTGGCACAAATAAATTTATTTAATTGAAGAAACTTTTAATTTATCTATTTACTGATTCCTAGATCAGGTATATTCTGTTCCAGATAGAATTTAAATATTTCATCGTGAGTGACTTCTACAATAACTATATGTTCTTATCCTTACAAAAACTTAATTGTAAGAGTCAATAAATGTCTAGATTTTTAAACAGGCTTTTAAAAAAGTGAATCATACAATGGAACAGGTCTCCTTGAATCTTCACTGTAAATTAAAGGGTTCAGTCTGATCATGACCACCTTCCCCAAAGAAAAGTCAATATGGAAGCCAGCAGGATGTCACAAGTCATTATAATGTGAAATCCTCACTTAACAACCCACAGTAATTTATTAAACTACAGCAATTAGAAGTGCCAGAATTGTCATTGTAACTCAGTAGTCATGCAATTCTTTTATTTACAACTGCAATGTTTAGCGATAGAATTTCCAGTCCCAATTACCATCATTAACTGAGGACTATCTGTACAGAGTCATTTTGCACAAGATAACATTCTTAAACATCTCTTTCAGTTGATACCTGAGTATAGTGCTAAGATGGCAATGATTGTGGATGATCGCTAGTAGGCTCAGGATGAAAGTAATGCATACGTTCTGGCTTCCTTGATCTCTCAGTGGCTTTCAATACCATTGATCATGAAATCCTTTTTGGACTGGCTTAAGGATTTGGGACAGAGAGCACAGTGTTGTAGTACAGGGATGACAAACTTGCGGCATCATGTTGTCATCGTGTGACATATCACAACATTTTTCCCCTTTGCTAAACCGGGTGGGCGTAGGCAGCGCATGTCGCATCCAGCCTGCAGTCTGCGAGTTTGATACCCCTGTTGTAGTAGTTCTCCTCCTTCCTCTGGGATCAGTTCTAGTTAGAGTTGGTAAAGAGCGCAGTTGAATATTGAACCCATGCGTTATAAGGTTCCTCAGAGATTACTCTCTTTTCACTCCTAATTAATAACTATATGAAGCTGCTGGATGAAGTTGTCATGTTATAATGGTATCTGGGAATGATCTTAAGAAATAGGAGCCAAGACACAGACTCAAATGGCATGTAAAATATATCTCATCTCATAGAAGCAGGAAGGTATAGGAAACATTTTAAAAGGGACCATCCCTAGGAAAAGGAAGGAAGAAATACTTTCAGTTGTGCAAGTATTCTGTTGTGACCCCGACTCCCGAGCCTGTCCTAACAGAGGAAGAGGACTCAGAAGTGATGGGGAGGAACTGATAAGGCCTCCCTCTCCAGGACCCTCCTCTCTGGCAATGCTTCAGGTTCCATCCGAAGGCCAAGAGGAACAGCCTGGGATATGCCAGGAGGAAAGCATATCGGAACAACAACAGATAGGAACAAGGATGATGAATCCTGGCTTGATCCCAGGCAGCATCGGAGGGAGAAGTGTGTGCAGCAACGAAAGAGACGTGGGAGGGCCAGAGATTGGGCTGAGTCACTGAGCCACACCCCACAAGGAATAAAAATGGGTGTGATTGCTCTTCAGGCTTTGTAACGGTCAAAATTAAAAACCTGAGAGTCACATCGCGTTACCTGAAATCTGGCTTGTGCATATTTGGATTGGACCTTGGCTAACTCTTGCTTCGTGGATTACTTTTTGCTACTGAACTGGACTGAGGATAAACTCTCTCTTGCTTACTGTGAGTGAAAACTGACTTGGCAGTCATTTCGCAGTTTACTGCCAAAACTCTTATCTGCAAGGGTTTCTAGTCTGATTGCTTAATAAAATCTTGGCAGGCGTGCCTGGTTGTGTGTTTGCCTGTGTGGGGAAGGGGGACAGAACATATTCTGTTAATATAATTCTATAATAAAAATAGAGCTAGTAATCCTGGTTGTGCATCTTGTCTGGACTACTTCACAGGGCTAACACCTCTGCAAGGAATTAGATATTATCAATATGCTGCTGATATTCTTAAGCTTACGCTACCTTGAGACTGTAAATGACAGGTAGGATATAAATC